ACAGCAGCAACAACAGCAGCAGCAAGAGCAGCAGCAACAGCAACAACAGCACCAGCAACACCAGCAACACCAGCAACATTCCCGCCCCAGCAGCTGCACAATGGGTAAATGGCAGCATTGCTGGTGTTTACTTTTGCAGCCCACTGTTTTTCGGCGGCGGCGAAATGCAACAGCAGCAGCAACACTGTAAACGCCGCAAACGAAACACAACCAGCAACATCATCAGTGGCAACCAGCAACAATCGCATCATCAAGCGTTGCCGTTGCTGCTATTGAACTTTTGCTATTTGGCCAAGATTCCCACACACCTGCTGCAGCATCTAGTTGTTGTTGTTGTTGTTGTTTTAGTTATTGTTGCAGCTGTGACTCTGGTTGTTGCTATTGCAGCCACCCACTTGCAGCGTGTGAAAGATTGAACAACTTTTTTGTCCAAGGCGTGACACGAAACTTTGTTTCAAGTACGTTTGCTATATACGTTGCGCCCTAAAGCGAAATGATGGGTGCCGCTTAATAAAACAAAAAAAGCAGACAGAAAAATAAGGAGGGAGTTGCAAAATGGGGTAAATGACCGCTGATGGCGGCCAAAATTGAATTGTTTTGCATAAATTGATGTTTCACCGTTGCCGTTTTCAGTTTCGGTTGCAATTGTGTCTGTTTGCTTTGGAGGCTTTCAAGGGTGTTGGTTTTAATTGAAGTGCCGAGCTGCCCTGTTCCTACTCCACATTTACATCATTAAAAAAAAAATGGTCACTTAAAATGTAATAATAGGGAATAGACCGCAAAACGAGACATATTAAAATTTAAATAAAAACCTTCTTATAAATCACTTAAAATAAAAACATTTTGTAAAACATTTGAATATTTTTTATGTATTTACAACTAATATCCAAATTAATTTAGGTGGTAACAATCATAAAAACAGCTTGTACACGTAATGGTTATTATTTATTACATGTGCTGCAAATGCTAACTATCCCATAAATATTATATATGCCAAATAGAGAGGTAGAAAATATCAAAAACTATATCAATTAAAAATGCTAAACTATTACTTCTATTTTACACAATTTTTGTACAATTTATATTTCTCTCTGTGTAGCTGTATTTGATTTCCTAATAAACATGAATCTCTAACCAACTGAAAAGAGACCACGATATTTCCCATTTGACTTTGCTTATTTACCTTATGAATATGACAAAATTAAGCTGACAATGGGTAGCTGATATTGTGATATTGTAATGCATTTTTTTTCCCTGTGTACCCCTCTACCCAATCCCTTTTGGTCCAGGTTGCCCACGCGAAACAGCTGCCAAAACTCAGCGAAGGCGAAGGAGATTCAGATTCAGATTCAGCTTCAGCTTCAGATTCGAATTCGCATTCGCATTCAGATGGAGACGGGGGCCAGGAGATGTGGGGATGGGGGTGGAGCCACAGCTGGCGGCCCAGCTGCCACTTCTGGCTATTTTTTTTTCCAGTGGGCGCCGGAGAGGATTGGCGGTGGAACAAACTGGATTGGATGGGCGCGGCCATCTGCAGATCATCATCATCGACTCGCCCCAGCGAAAGTTGCACCGAAATCTATGCGGGGAATTCTAGAGCGGCTCAGGGCTATGGCCACAAACAGTCTGTGATACCCAGAGCTACCCTAGATCTCCCGGGGATTAACCCTTCACATTGTTCATGCTTAGTTCTTTCCACTGCTATCATTGTAATTTTCTACTTAAAGAAGTTATTCCTCTCTTGACATTTCAAGAATTTTCCCTTAGTCTTTGTAATTATAAAGAATAGAAATTATAATTATAAAGAATTTATGCAAAATACGGTTAGGAAATTGATTGCTAGTGCAGTCATGAAACATAACTGAATGCAACGCCTTAACCATTATGCCCTAATTACTCAAAGAAAAAAACAAACAACTAAGTAAACGTTTACTTTTCGCTAATTTAGCAATGGCTGCTAGTGGGTTAAGTTGGCCAAAAGGCTTATCCTATGCCACAAATGCCAGTCGCAGTCGCAGTGGCAGTGGCAGAGTGGAAAACCCAACCAGTCCGAGAGTCGCCGCCAAAAGTCCGTCCTTCTGTGTGTCCGCCAAGTCCGCCAAGTCCGCAAGTCCGCCTGGCAAAAATGCCATCTGAGGCTAACTGGGCGGCGAGGCGAACTGGTTGCCCAGGCAGTTGGTTAAGTGCACCGAAAACATTAAGGAATTATTTTAAATTTAAAAAAAAAGTATATTTTGTTTTAATGAGTTAATGAGGTGAGTGGGTACACAAATTCACATCATTATAGATGAACTAGATATAAATCTATCAACACAAATGTTAAGTGAGTTCTAAAATAAAATTTAAACATTTAAAAGTGTATGCAAGTATGAAAGATTAAAGAAAGTTTTTAATTAAAAGCGAATATAATCAAGTAAGTAATAAATTGAAAAGTAGAAGGAAATATTCATTTAGGACTAGTTTGTCAATCATAGTATTTACCAATACAGATAATAATACACTACTTTTTTGTAAAACTTATTTATCTGCTAACAAATTGCACACTTAACTTAACACACTAATATGTAGATATCAGCCTCTTTTATTGTACATTAATATTTTTCCCCAATTTTAATATTCTGCTAAAGGTTATAAATTAAAATGTGTGAGAAATTCATATTAAAATGAATTCATATTTTTGTTATGAACAGTGCCTAAATAAATATTGAAAAATCGAGTTATTTTTATGAAACATGTAGATGGATATCGGAAGCAAAAGGATTTTCTCTGTGTGTGGTGCAGCTGGTGGTGCTGGCGGTGGCTTGAATTACAAAAGGAGCTGAGCCGAACCGAACCGAGTTTAAGAGCCAGCCTGGGCAGCCGAAGGCAGCGGCGGCAACTGTTTTTTTTTTAGCTCTTTGCTTTTTATTATAATTTCAATTTTGTGTATCTATGAGATACGCGCAACGTGAATTGGCATTTTCCATTTGGCAATTTGCATGTGCAATGCAATGCAATGCAATGCAATGCGGGTCCAGAGATCTGAGATCCCGAGATCCCTGCCAAACAGTCCGGGTAATTAAAGCGCCATTAACGCCCCATCATCCTGGGAATGGGAATGCGAATGGGTATGGGTAAGGGGTTGGGACTGTGAAGATGATGGGTATTCACGATGACGATGACGAGGTGTCCAGGAAATGCAATTAACCGATTGGCCCACAAGCCGTGCTCATTCGAAAGTCGCCGCTTTGTAAAATGGAGACTCTATCCGAGCCAAAGTGTGCCTGGTGTGGTGTGTCTTAGTCCGGTGTGGTGTGCCTGTGACTGTGACTGTGCCTGGTATTGTTATTGTTATTGCTCGTCTGGTGTCTTTAACCCACCGCAGGCCCATTGACCAGGTGCTCACCGGGTTGCGGCTCGAGTGTCCAAATTGCTGGCGGGGATTGCATAAGCGGACAGCCCAGCCAAGATGCAATGATCAATCAGGCGGCTCAATCAGTTAGTCAGTCCATCAGTCATAACGAGGCTTTGGCTCATTTTCAAGGAAACCGCTGCGTAAACGCTTCCACGGGCGGTCTCCGATATTCTCGTTTATCAGCCGAGGGCCAGAGTAAATTTTCTTTTTACCATAGTTTGATTTTAGGTAGCGTTTTTCCTTTAAATACTGCATTTTAAATATTAGGCATTTCCAAATGAAGTTAAAATGTAATTAAGACCATTTTACGGGAAACCGTTTGGTGAACCTTTCTTTCTCAAAGAGCATTTAAACTATAGATTATCGATTATAATTTATCATAAATCATTGTTGCATAATTTTAGGTTATTAATTAAATCGAAAACTTTTATTGGGATGAGTCTTAATTACCAGCACTTGGATATAATTTCAGAAAATATATTTATTTCATATTGGTTTTTAAAAAATTATTTGTGAACAATTCTTTCTCAAAAAACTTTGAAACTTATTTTCTTATAGAAGCTTTAGCTATTCAGCTATTCAACTATAAAGTAAATAAAAACTCATCATCAATCATCCACTAGATCAAAAACCTTTTAATTTTTAATGATGCTCTAGATTCCTATTTATCATCGCTAGAAGATAATTTTCTTCATTATAAAAAATAAGATTTCATTTAATTCAACACAAGACACAAGTTTAACTGCTATTATTATATTTAAAAGCAATTTATTTAAAGTATTAAGCGGATATATTATTTGTTCTTCTGAGACATCAACAGAGATATAAAACATATCTACAGAGAGATTATATTATGATGCAAATTGGCAGACTTGTGGGTCTAGACATTGATTCGTGACCAAAGCGGGCAGTAAGAACTTTCTTCTTCTCACTACTCCAGATCTTCTCCGTGAACCTCAAAGTATTTAGAGCAAATCGAACACGAAGACACGGCAGCAACCATAACATGGGTATGGGTGACACCAACAAATGAAACAGTTGAAGGCCGGGCGACAATTAACGCATTATTTATTAATATCTGAAAATTGTGTCGCCCGTTAAGCGGTTTACAGATGACGGCTACCAAGACAACAATATAATACTAACAATAACAGAAAAACCAAGGCATTCAATTACACAAATTGTTGAGAAGAGTACACAGAAAAACATGAGAAAATGATTTAATTTTTTATATTACAAGAAATGCAGACAGTAAAAATCAAAAACTTGTATTTCTAATATACAAATAAACATTAAAAGGAATTATTTAAAACAAAGAATATTTAAGGGTATTTTATATATTCTTTAAAGTAATTGTTATTAGGTAAGTCTTTGAATATTTTTTTAATAAGTTTATAATTGAAAGAGGAATAGTTTTAGACACGCTTTTAAAAATAAATGGTTCATTCACAAAATAAAGTAGTTCGTTTTGAATAAATCTTGTGAAACTTTTAAGAACTCTATTTTGCGTGCAAATTTGCAAAGTTCTTTTCCCTGTGTACTTCATGGTGGTGCAATTTTCGTGCTGCTAGCCCATGTCTTTTCTTAGTTTATTTATTATTTTTACCTCATTTGCGGTGCGGGCGTCCCAAGTAGATGAAAAAGAAGCGGCCGAAGAATTCTCCACACGAAACCTGGCAATTAGAGCGCGGCAGCAATAACAACACTCGCACACGCTCGCAGAATTCTTGCTGAATCTCGGATCTCGAAATAACAAAAATACAAAAACAATCGGCCCAAAAGCAAAGAGTCGCGCTGCACTTTACACTTTTGTGGCTTGAAGCACTCAGGTGAGACAGGTGCAGCGTTTTGTGTGCCCACAAGCACTTTCAGCAATTTTTACTGGCCCCAAAATCGAAGAAACACACTCTGTAGCTCCAAAAAAAAAACAAATATATATATAAAAGCACACGCGTTAAAAAATATATATTTATATATTTAGCCGGTAGCAATAAATTTCCTTTCTTCGGAAAATCGAAAGACGAAGTATGGGAGTTGTTTATTCGGGGGACACGGGATTTTCCGCACTGACGACGTGAATCTCGCGAGTGGCGACGACAAATTGAGGCGGCAAATAAATTGGAGCCGTCGTCAAAGTGACCGCGCAGCCGGAGAAGCGAAAGATACCAAAAATGGTAGTATTAAACCAGTTTTCCGACTGCTTTCCGACGCTTTTGCGCCGGCGCTGCCAGACGTTCGAACCGGTTACCAGTATTTTAAACTTCACAGTTTTGAGAGCTTTCTGCTGACTTCTTTTCTTTTTATATTAAAATTTAAAGGAAAATAGAAATAGAAATATTTTGAAACATTTTGTAACTGTTTTCTCACATTAGATTTTTTTTTAAGCGCTCAAAAAAAAGATCAATCATTTTCTTTAAGAATGCTTTTTAATTTCAAAATAGGAGGAGTATCTATTTTTGTTATTTCAAAACACATATGTACCGTAAGCGATCATGATCGCCACAAGCCGAGGGTCTGGCAACGCCGCATTACTGTTAGCTCTAAAAGCTACAGTGTGACCATCACAATTTTAGAGCGCTCCATTTGAAATTCCGCATTAAAACACACACACAATTCACGATTGTTTAGTAAAGTTGCGAAAGCGTTGTGGAATCGTTTATTCTCATTCATGTTACAAATGCACTCTTGGAGAGTTTTAGTACTAGCCTAGCGCGATCGCGATCTTTTCGTCCTACACTTTCTGCGGGGCCTCTGCAACTGCACTCTTCGCACTTACACTTACAAGTCAATAGAGAGAGAGAGATCGATTGAGAGAGTTGATGGGCAAGTAAATAACACAAGTACATAGTTCTCTATATATTATATATATTATATACTGTATACTGTATACGACGAAGCGAAAATAAATGTATATGTGTATATAATTATATTTATAGTATAGATTTGTAGCGCTGTTGCTAATAGTTTTCACATATAAAAATGTTTCCTTTGTTAGACATTTACAACATTTATACCCAAGTGGCAACTATAATACATATAAGTACAATATATAACTCTTTAGATCTTTATATAGGCATATAACTGTAGGTATCGGTATTGGTATCGTTATCGTTATCGCTATAGCAATTAGCTGGGAGTGCGGGCAAATCGATGGTGGGACAGAGACAGGAGAATCCAGAGTTTTCATATTCCACATTTCCTTTTCTGATCCCTGATATTATGTGGTATGCACGTGTATGTGTGTGTGTGGGGCGTGAAAATATAGGCTAATAAGCTTCGATAGTGCAGCAAGGTGGCTAGAATTTGTTTCGGTTATTTTGCTTTCGATATTTTCGATATTTTTTCTCTTTAAGGTACGCACACTGGTACAAAAGTATGCAAGTATTTTTTAAAGGCAGCGCGGGACTACTGGACACACATGTTTTTTTAGTATAGGCTCTATGTGTATGCTTGTGTGATCTAATCTTTAATGGTGGTAATCGTGGATTAATGGGCGGCACTGATTTTGTGTTAGTTAACATTCGCTATAAGTTTACACTCTTAATTAATAAATATATATATATATATATATGTATAATATACTGATTTTTAGGGCGGGGCAGGTGCTCGCTGATACATCTTTACAATATTCGAAGTCGAAAAGTGCTGGGGAGAGGGGGCGTGGTTTTGAGGGCTAGAGGGAAGACGGGGCGATTGGGGCGGTGCAGGGGCTAAGTGTGAGAAAGTCTTGACTAAATTTAATGTACAGGACTACGTTGTCTACGCTTCATCGTCATCTTCATCGTCTTCATCATCATCCTCTAATCGCAAGATGACATCCTATTAAACTGATATCATTGCAACATTGTTCTTGTTGTACTTTCGATAGTTTTGCTTTTTTGTGCTGGCATGTTGAGCTTTTACTTTGAAATGGTTTTGCCTGCTGTGCTGGGGACTGCGGGCGAGAGAGGGACAGATGGAGAGTCTGCGTGCAGTGTGACCAACGTTGCATGTGAAGCATACATTCCCGAATGTTAAAAATACAAATATATTAATAAAACAAAAATCTGACAAATAACTTACACATCAAAAAGTCACTTAAATGTATCTTGATATTCTCTTAAACTTAAAACTCGTAAGTCTCTGATTATATTGTAATACCTCATAATAATTTTTTAGCAAGTTTTCAATTGAAACTATCGTGTGTCATGAAGTGCAGGCTTTTTTAAAGGATATCTATTTAGACAGCATAATAAGGTATGATTATATAGACATTTCTAGGCTTAATTGTGACAACTATTTGCGTTATATATGTAGTTGGTCGCACTGAAGCAATATCTCTCCACTGACAGAGAAAGAGACAGACATAGAGAGTGAGACAGAGAGAGCATGAGATGCAGACGTAGCTGTAAGTTAGCCATTTGGGAGCAGGAGCAGGAGCGGGATTGGGGGGGACTTCTGGAAGGAGGAGGAGAGGGGATCCTTCGGTAGGGGCAGGGGCTGCGCCTACAGATCAAAATAAAACTCAACAAGCATGGCCTAAAACTGGTTGACCTTCAGCTCGTTACCCTGCAGCTGGACGAGGCGGAAGGCCTCGCGAATGGTCGGTGTCATCAGGAGCTTTAGGTTATCCTCGGCCTCGCCGGGCAGCGAACGCAGCAGCTCCATGGAGGCCACCACCAGTTGGGCCAGCGCGGCCCGCTTGTAGTTGGAGTCCTTCAAAATGCTGCTGGCCCGCTGCTGTTCGATTTCCGGCGAGATGGACTCCGCCTCCGAGGACTTGGCCTGCCGATTGGTGTCGAACGGATTACTCCTGCACTTTGGCTGGAACTCGCTGATCAGCGTGGTCATGGTCACGTTCTCCTCCTCCTGCAGCTGCACACACTTGCTGGGCGAGGTGTTGCTCCCTGATCCCGAACCCGTATCCGTCATCTCGGCATCGCCATTGCCGTTCAGGGAGATGCACATGGGCTTGCTCTGCGCATGCGGGTGCTGCAACTGCGGTGGCTTCTGGCGCAGCTTGCCCGATCCACTCTCGATCTCGTGGAGAGCGGAGTTGCTCAGATAGAGCTCGCAGACCAGATTCCAGGCATCCTGCAGACAGAACAGATACCGCACAAAGTTCTCCTTCTTCTTCACCGTGGTGGTGTTCAATCGGGAGCAGGACTCCAGGATGAAGTTGAGGTCCTCCGGGCCCAGATTGTAGACGACAATGTCGTTGAGGTGCGAGTCCACCAGCGCTATGTAGTAGATCATCCACGAGGAGGTCATCTGCTTGTACAGATTGGCGGCGTACTCGATGTTCGACACCTTCTGCATGAGGAACTTGAGGCCGGGCCGCGAGTCGAACTCCAGGGCGGACATGAGATACTGCTTGACGCAGCGCAGCAGGATCTCCTTGGAGCGAAAGTCCAGGTCGTAGTCGTGGCTGGGCGAGGCCGCCGAGGCGGCATAGTTGTCGAAGATGCAGGTGGACACCGCCTGGGGCACACACTTGAGCCGCGACAGCAGCAGCTTGGCCACCAGCTGCAGGAGCATCTGGTTGGCCAGCAGGCCCACCACCAGATTCTTAAACGGTATCCGGATCACAAAGTTGTCCAGGTTCGAGTTGAAGCCGTTGTTCAGCGGGTAGAGCAGGAAGGAGTAGCTCCGGTCGTCGGACAACTTGCACTGCGCGCCACTGGGTGCCCCACCCGGCGCACCACTGGCATTCTGGCCCGGCTCCCGCTGATTGTCGGAGAGGAAGACCTGCTGCGCCAGGGCATAGATGCGGGCCAGCTCCTCCAGGCTGCTGTCCCGCCGCGCAGCCACCTTCACGTTGGCGCAGTCGCCATAGAAGCTGTTCGACTTCTCGTGGAAGGCGAACGAGAGCTGGCGCAGTGGGGCAATCGTCACGGTGCAGGCCCGATGGATGGCCGAGCAGGCGATCATCCACTGCGACTCGTTGAAGAGCATGCCGGTGGAGAGGATGACGTGCTTCAAGCAGGACACCGAGATCCTGGCAATGGCCTCCTGCGACTGCGCCGCACACTCGATCAGCACCAGGAGCAGCTGCTTCAGGGCCAGCGTGGCCGAACCCGAGATCTTGGTGGGTGACTCTATGAGATTGGATCCACCACCAGCTATTCCACCTCCTCCTCCTCCTCCTCCTCCTCCATTCTTCTGCTGCTCCTCGCTGGCAGAGCTGGAACTGCTGTCGTACTGCTGGCCATAGCCAAAGCCCTGATCCTGGACAGACTGCTGCTGCTGGTGCTGGTGCTGCTGCTGCTCTCGCTCAATCCGCTCGGTGACAAACTTGAGCTTGGAGTAGAGCAGGTTGTCAGCCGGATGGACTATCTGCGCCAGTCGCGTCTTGGTGCCCGCGCCCAGACGCCGCTGCTCCGGCACCGACTTCTCGATGAACTCCACCACCAGGTCGGTGGTCATGCAGCAACAGTGCTTGAAGTTCTTCTCCACCAGCTGCCAGGAGGAGCCCGTTTTGTTGATGTAGCGCAGCCAGTCCTGGATCATGGGCACCAGCAGGTGGTTGATGCAGTAGAAGCCAAAGTCGATGCCCGGACTGGCCAGCAGGTTCTTGAACAGCTTGAAGATCGTCTGCAGGATGGGCGCCTGATGGGAGTAGGGGCAGACGATCAGCGAGTTGGTGAGGCCGTCGAGGAGGAGGAACCACACCTTCAGCACCCCCGACGGCTTGTCCATCTCGTCGATCTTGACGATGGTGTCCTTGTCGATGTGCAGCGAGCGGTAGGAGATCATGTACTGCTCGTTCCGCGTCTGCAGATAGTCGTTGCCGAAGTACGTGAAGTTCTCCATCGAACTGGGTATGTTGGCGTCGATGATGTGCGTGTACGAGATGCCCTTGATCTTGTACGTCGAATGGAAGTTGGGGCACTTGGGCATGCTGTGCATGAAGCCCAGTATGCTGGAGCAGCGCTCCAGGAAGCGCAGCGTTTCGTGCAGAAAGTCCGTGGGCCGAAAGGTATTATCCTCCTCCTGCTGCTGCTGCTGACCACCAGTTCCACTTCCAGTTCCAGTTCCGGCGCCCGAGCAGGAATTGTTGTTGTTGTTGTTGTTCCCGCCGCCAGAGATCTCCAGGTAAGAGAGCAGGCACAGGATGCAGTCCAGTCCAGCGTTGGCGAACACCAGCGTGTTGTCCGAGTCGAGGAACACGCGGAAGATGTCGATGATGTTGCTCATGTTCAGCATCCGGCTGCGGGCATTGCGCAGCGTTCCAAAGAGGGGCCGCCATCCGGAGCGGATTTCCGTGCGGTGCGCCTCCACCACCTCGTACAGGCAGGCCACGATCTGGTCCTGCACGTCCACGTCCGTGTCCATGCTCAGCAGGTTCTCGAACGGCTTCAGCAGCGCCTCGTTGAAGTGGAAGTACGGCAGCTCCGACTGCTCCACCAGCAGGGCGGTGATTATATCGTGAATGTACTCGATCGCCCGCTTCGAGATCATCCGGTCGCGGTGGCAGGCGGCCTTTGAATCGCAAATATTTCAAGTTTTGGATGGTTAGATATCCCAGTTGGATAGTTAGTTAGGGGCCACAAATGATGGGGGAATGTTTCGAGTTGAGGAAATAAAACAAACATGACAAGCTTACAAATAAAACAAATTAAAACCAAAATAATATTTCTCACTTCACAATAATGATAAATTGGCAGAAAGCCAGGAGAACTCTAAATGGTTGATAGTTTTATGATCCCAACCACACCAATCGACTTGCATTAAAAGCAGGGTCCAAAAATAATCGTTATTTTGAAATACTATTTTTAAGAGACGTTAGAAATAAAACAATGTTTATAAATTGTAAATTAAAATATGGTATAGTAAAGCAGGCAATGCAATAATCTTACTGGGATTTGAAACATAAGTCTCAAATAACGATTATTATAATGATTAATTTGAGAAAAAAGGTTTTACTAATATTAAATTGATAAAAAATCACAATTTAATGATAGAAAATGACGGAAAATTTCGCTCAAAGTCGAATAATTTTGAAATGAAATAAGCTAACAAAAAAATGCTGCACAACAAAAATGAATCCGACTTTGAGCAACATTTTTTGATCGAAAAAACAATTATTAAATTGTGGTTTTTATTATATCACTTATAATGAGAACGGTTCCTTAAATAAAAGTCTGTCAATAAATAAAACCCATCCGAGTAAACAATAACTTCTTTTGCAAACAAGAAAACCATAAGGAAAATGAGTTTGTGAGATGAGACCAGATGATTCAGAACTGTACTCACGTCCATCAGATGGGGTCCAGTGATGGCCCAGACCTTGAGCACGTGCAGCAGGGGGCGCGAGCTGCGGAACACCTTGAGCGTGACATCGCCGATGCGGTGGAGCAGCAGCGACATGGGCAGCGAGTCCAGCTTCTTCCAGCCCTTGCTGGGCCACCAGATGCGGCTGCCCTTGCGCGCCACCTGGCTCTTGTAGAGCTGCTCCCTGGAGGCGCGGCACAGGTGCTTGAGGAACTGGCACAGCGAGGGCAGGCTCAGTCGCTCGGCGGCGTCCCCGAAGAGGTTCTCCGCCTGGTGCGACAGGGCGCAGAGCACCTTGGAGGTGTCGCTCTGGCTGAGCAGCACCGTCTCGTTGGTGCCGGAGTAGACCTTCAGGATGGAGGTGATGTTCGTGTTGGGGCTCTGCATCGGTGCCTGCAGGAAGCTGTACACGTCCACGCTGCGGATAATAACTTATGAGTAATTTGGCAGGACAAGATCAGGGAATAGATAGCCCCACCAGGTCTCGTCGTCGTCGATGGGTATGGAGGAGAGATTGAGCTTGTCCTGGGCATTGCCGTTGCTCAGCTTCTCGCCCGTCTCCAGATCCCGTCGACTGCTGCCCGGCGAGGCCGAAATGGCCGGGTTCTGCATGCTGAAGATCTCGTGCTCCAGCTGGCTGACATGCCGGCACACGGCGAAGATGCTCGGCCAGCAGTCGGCGCTGTAGCTGCCCAGGTTGAGGCCGCCGGTGAGCACCACGTCCATGGACATGGCCTGGCTGGCCGAGATGCGGGGTCCGGAGGTCTGGCACACATTGGAGGCCAGCAGATTGAGTATCTTGCCGGCCAAGTGCTGCAGATTCAAGCTGTTGCTCAGCGTGGCGGCCTGAGGATAGCGAAAGTTATATACGGTACACAATAGAGAGAGAGAGAGAGAGAGAGAGATAAAGATTAAGCCCTCACCGAGTGCAGTCCATCCAGGCACATGGCATACAGGGCCTCGCCATTCGACTTGTTCGCCTTGGCCTTCACCCTAAGAGTGCGCTTCGAGAGGGCCACCAGTTTGTTGGAGGCGGAACTGGTCTGCAGATCCCCCAGCCCGGAACTCAGCACAATGACCATCGAGTCCCAGCAGCAGGTGAGCAGGCGGCGGCACAGCTTCTTGGCCGCCTCCCTGCGCTTGTCGTGCAGCTGCTCCTCCTCCTTGTGCTTCACATTGGCCGTCTGCAGGCGCTGCCACTCGGAGAGCATCTGGGTGGCGCCCAGACCGCCGGCATCGCACAGCATGTCGACGAGGGCGCAGCGCGGCCCCATCCCCTCCAGCTGCTGGCGCGGCATGGCCTCCAGTACATTGCACACGGTCACCGACTGATAGAGTTCGCACAGCCACGGCGAGGAGAGATAGACGAGGACGCCGGTGTTCTGCACCGAGGTGACGAACTGCTGCTCCGACATGGGCACCAGGATGTCCTTGTGGGACACGCCCTGGGCCACCTGCTCGTAGTAGCCGGCCCGCATCAGCTGCAGGCTGAGCAGCAGCGAGGAGTAGATGGCCAGGTAGATGCCGTCCGCATTGATGGCCGTCAGGTTGTAGTCAAAGTCCGAGAAGTTCATGCTGTTCTCCTGGCAGACGGCCGAGGCGAACTCCTGCATGGCCTCGTCCAGCTCCACGCAGCTGCGCAGCCGCAGCAGCTTGGGCACCAGATCCTGCCTCAGAGCCCGGGCGAAGTCACGGGCATGCTGCCGATCGTTGTCGCTGTCCGTGCGGATGGGCATCACGGGCGCCTCCAGGTGCGAGTACGGCCAGCGGTTCTCCACGCGCGACGTCTCGTCGCTGGAGCTGCTGGGGTCGTCGTCCTCGGGACCCTCCGTGTCGCCGGAGCCATTGGAGGCCTGCTCGTCCTGCTCGTGCACCGGCTCGCCCTCGCTCTCCGATCCCGACGAGGTCTCGAACACGTTCTGGCGGAACTCCACGATGGCGTCGCGGTACGGCGCCGGCAGGCGGGCCATGCTCTGGTAGGTCAGCGGCCCCGAGTAGTCCGCATCCTTGAGCAGGTCGTGCCGCCCGTTGACCACCTGCACGATCTGGTCGCTGATCATCGACTCGGTCAGTTCGCCGCTGCACAGCACCTGCAGGCTGTCCAGCAGGGCCACCATGCACTCCACGCTCGCCTGCAGACTGGCCTCCGTGGCCGAGCCCACGCCGCTGGCTCCATAGGCACACTCCTCCATGGCGTCCACCAAGCTGGAAGATAATAAAATATATATTTTTTGAATATATTATACGCCAAAACAAATGTAATCTTATCCAGCTTTTATAGAATAATCAAGAAGAAATAAAGCTTCGCTTAGCAAACAAATGACATATTCCATAAGTTAATATATTTCTAACCAATTTTCCTGTTTTTGGAACATTAGAAAAAAAAATATTATTTTAATAGGACATTTTTAAGACATTTGAATTTTTGCACATTGTTTCCTGGAGCATTAATAAAAATAGAAATTTTTAGAAAGTGTTTTTTTTTGTGTTTTTTAAAATCTAAACATAAATCTTAAGAGTCTATTTCTTGTGACTTGGCCAAAAAGAGACAGATGGCAACCAAATCATCCGCGGTCGAATTGAAAAAAAAACTTATTTAATAACAAATTTTCGCAATTTTTGTTAAATAAACATTTTTTAGGGAAATTTGGAACAGTGCTCAATTTTAGCTGTGAATGTAATATGATAGATAGTCATATGAAAAGTTTAACGATGATGTTATTCATCCTTTTGCATTTAACACAAGGAAATAAGTTCGATATCTCATATCGGTGACCCATGCACTTACAGTCGGAACAACGCCATCTCATCGCTGCATCCCTGTGCGGTGTTTTTGTCCACGTATAGGATCACCGCCAGGTCGATCAGTCGCTCCGGACTCTTGAAGATCTCCCTAACGCAGCGGAGTGGCTCTGTGCGATTTTGGGGGGCCGGGAGCAGGAGCATCCGGTGGAACAGGGCCTCCAGCATGGGACGCAAGGAGCCATGGGCGCCGGCGATCCGAAGTAACTGAATGGCCGTTAAGTAGACACAACGCGCCTGCGGACCATCCAAGCCAGGACCCGTGAAGAAGCCACGTGCCTCGTTCTCAATCATGTGCAGGGCGTCCCTGAAATAGTATAATAAATGTAAACAATATAAGTTTCGATTGTTTCTTATTGAAAAGCAAATAAAATGTAAATTAAAGGGAAGGTTCTATCAATTTATAAAGCTATCTAAATTTAGACATATTTTTAGGCATCTTTTTTGCACAACTTCTCACTCACTTGTAGGTGAACTTCTTGTCCAGGTTGATCCTGCCGGGTGAGCCCAAGGCGGCCGCCAAAGTGGGACAGAACTTCTGCCAGAGAAACGAGGTGAAGTGCGGATTGGCATGGACATTCCGGGGCAGGGCTGAGCTCAGAGTGAGGATGCACTCGGTGAGGTACAGCGAGCTGTGGTTCTCGCACTTCTTGTTCGGCGAGGCATTCACATTGGGCTCGACCAGTCGGCTGCAGAGCCACTGCATCACCGGGATGACCTCGTTGTAGACGGCGGATGCCTGCGTCTGGGTCATCAGGCCGGCGGGCGCCGTCTTCTTCACCTCCTCGGCCTCCTCGATGAGGAAGGCGCAGAAGGTGCGCAGGCATTGGGAGGCGGCGGCCAAGGACGCGGCCTTGGTGGCCCGCGAGCCCATCTCCCAGCACTCGCCGCACCTCGACAGGATCTCGATGAGCAGGCGGCCGTTCAGAGTGCAGGCGGGGGAGCAGGCCATCGCCAGGAAGAGCCGCAACACATTGACCACCGTGTCCTCGCTGCTCGTCGACGGCAGGATGCCGTTGGTGGCCCTCAGCAGCTGCGATGGCAGCCACACTGAGTCGTCCTCCGGCTCAAGGCCGATGTAGAAGCGTTCGTCCTTGATGACGCGCTGTTGGGGAGGCAAAACCGGATTATCAGGATTAGCAGCAATGGGATATATAATACCCATATTGGGAATTAAACTTAAGAAAACAGAAGGTAATACAAGAAAATATGTGGAAAATTGAGCAAGCTCAAGGACTTTCAGTTGGAAATAAAAAATGGCAAAGGAAATCCCAAGATTATCTAAGGGTAGTAGAAAATTTTGATAATTCAAAACAAGCAAATAAAGAAGAGAACTTAATAAAGTTTAAATAAAATAGATAAGAGTAAAAAGAAATAACAAGGATTAAGGATATGGAATAGAGTACAAAGACAAAATTGGAAGGGGATATAAAAAGTATTCAAGAAAGAGTTTGGGAAAAGAAAGGCTTGCAAAGAATTAAGTACAAGTAGGAATAAATGAAGAGATTAAAGGGCAGAAGGAGTTTGGAATTTAATAAAAATAAAAATGGTGCACTTTACAACGAAGTTAAAGGAGAGAATCTATAAATAAATAAATAACAGTATTGTTATTAACAAACAAGATAAATTAATAATAAAACACCTTAAACTAAAGGAGATCAGGGTCGTTAAACATAAATTGCAAGGATGAAACTTGAATAAAAGAAGAGGGTGAGTAGGAGGCGATGGTATAAAAATAGTCAGAGCAAAAGGCCGAACGGCAAAGTGCAGGAGCAAATCCGGAATTATTGATTACCATATTGTTAGGCAGTCATAAACAAAAGTCACTTCCGACCCCCAAGGACTCCCAGCAATTAGGCCATTCCGCCCATTGCCCACAAAGGGCCCCTATGTCCCACATCTGCCATCTGCCATATGCCATGTCCCATGTTCCATATACCATATACCATTTCCCATGTCCTTTGGCCAGTGTGTGCACACGGAATGATAAATCCGCATTGTGCGCCGGAAGTTCCGGCCGGAAAATGTGTGTCAGTGGTTGTTCTGGCCATTGTTGTCCACCATTACCATTACCATAACCATTACGATTACCCCTCCCGATAATCGCCGTTTCCGGACGGTGCACTTACATGGAGACCGTTGAGTCCCATCGTGATGAACTTGGGCCGCTTCGTGTCCAACGCCATCTGCAGGGCGGTAAAGCAAACGGAGCGCAGCTCGTGCGACGGATCCCGGTGGATTCCATGCTGGCGGTACAGTTTATCTGAGCGGGTGAATAAAATTCGAACATCAATTAGTTTTTACTGTGTTTAATACCCTAAATTATACGTTCATCTAATTTTCCATTTATTAGTTCCATTTTTTAGTCATAGTTGGGAACTAAGTGATTTGAAATAAATAGTAAGGAAATATGATCTCCATGTTTTTAAATGTCAAAATAGTATCCTTATCGTTTGCAATTAAAAACTATATCTATTTGCAGCGTATTATACTTGATATACTTAATACTACCAATAAATAATATGGGTATTACAATGTTATTTTTGTGCTCTTCCCTTTGAGTGCAAAAAGCTATGGCCGGAATTAGTGGTAAGTCGACGCGATTAACGGTTATCGCCGTGGGCGCAAAAGTATGTAACTAAAGCAGGCAGTAAAATCAGTCCAGATAAGGCACACGGATATGGGGGAATTCCCACACTTTCCCGACCGTAAATCGTTGCCCACTTTCCTGCAACGCCAACGCTGGAAAACACAAAAGCCAGCTGAAGAGTCGGAAAATCGAAAGGCAACAATGAAAGTATTCACTTGTGTGGGAGTTGGACTGCCATGCAAAAAATATGCAGTTTCTAAGCGGTGTATTAATTATAATATATATATATTATAATATTTGTGTAAAATATTTAAAACGTTAAACAATTTTTAAGCATAGAATAAAAAATTAAACCTTCAAATGATTCATTTCTATGCAGTAATTTTGAAATTTATTATTTAACCTTTCATTGTGAGTTTAACACTGCTGAAATGCAGAACTAAAAAATCGAAGGGTATTTGCACAAAGGAAGTAGCAACTAACGGTAAACAACAAACGTTTGGTCACAATGAAACCAGCAAAGAAAGGAGAAGTAAGGAAATGACGCTGCTTTCCCCGCGCTCTCTCTCTCTCTCTTTCTTTCGCCTTGCTAACGGTAAATGTAATTCACACATATGGCAAAAAATGGGTAACTTACCGTAAGCGATTTGCGCCGTTTGTCGCAGTGCGTTGTGTTTAGTTCCCGTTGACTCCTTGATAACCAGTAAAAAGAGGTCCTCCATATTGCCGCTCTCTTTCTAACACTCTCTTCGTTTACGAGTGTGTGCGTGTGTTGGCCAAAAGTCCTATTTGCTGGTGTGGGTGTTTTGTTGTTGCTGATTCAGGCCATCATAGCTAGTAGCAACGTCAACTCAATTAGCGCCTAAAAAATGGCAATAAAATCAATACAAACAAAGAATACGAAGACACAGTAACTGTAAATGAAGGATGTTTTGTAGGCGTATGTGTTATGTTGCCGCCATATGTATTCACACACGCACACGCACACATGCCATAAAGTTTGCGAGCTTGTACATGTCGTGTTTTCGCGTCACGTCACTTTTGCACTTTTCAAAAAACTTTCTGCACACACATTGCAATTGTGCACCTTCGAAAAGTTCAAACAGTGTGTATCCGTTTTCCTTGAAAAACTTTTCCTACTTTCACACTCACACACACAAATACACGCGAACAATGCAGCAGGCATTGCAACGGTTCATTTTCAATTAAATCCATATGCTAAGCAATTTTTGCAGCTCCATCAAGCACTTTTCACTGTGATTACTCATCGGGAATTACCATTTTTACACTCGAATATGGCCATAATGCTTGGTAACGGTAACGCAGCCACCACTTGTGGTTTTTCCTGCTGTTTTTCCACCGCTTTTTCGTTTTTTTCCGGGGAAATATGCGCTGCACTTGCCGTTGGATGCGACAAATGCTGTGTGACGCGAAAGGAAAGCACTTTCTCCATTTACGGCGGAGTGCGCATGGAGTACCGTTAGGTGACACGAGTGCGCATGTCCGCAAATCAGCTGATCCGATTGTACCGTTTATCGCTCAGCCAGGGAGGCAACTAGGTTTTTAAGGACTGAGCATTTTGCACTAGAGACAAACTGTACGCTTTTTATATTCCCACCCACATACCAAGTTATATAAAATACAAAAATTGCACTCACTTGGTGGCTTTCATATTTGCCAGAAAGTATGCTTTGATTTTTTGTAATGCTCGGAAAGAATCTAAACTCAAAAGAAAAATTCGATGCAAAAATAACAAAAATGTCTTAGTTTTACGTTTTGCGAAGCTTTATTTCAATAATTTCGAAACAAAACAACTAAAAACTAAACCGTTAACATTAAGTTATAAAGCTTTTTTTTTACAAATTCTTTCTTGTTATTTTATTTTCCCAAAAATTCTTATCTAAAAAACTTGGTCTATAAAATAAGTCATTTAGTTGAAATTACTCAGTTACAAGTTCCAGAAAATCAGCATTAAAGTAGAGATTGTCTGCAGCCCTGGAAAACTCTTAGCTGCAGTCTGAATTTAGTTGATTTTTCGACAAATCAATAAACAAAAGGAGTTATAGTTATCAAATCGAAAATAAGATTAGAGTAAGCAGACACTGCCAATCAATTAGCTTTCCAATTAATCTGTCATACCTGCCCAAATCCGGGTTCAACACATATGTAGTTCACCTGGACCATTTCCACAGGTGGTTTCCTTCTTTTCCAGCTCTCTCTCTCGCTCTCTCTCTCTCTCTCTTTCGTTTTTTCTCTCTCTCTCTCTCTCTGTTTGTTTTAAATGCCATTAATTATATTTCGCATTGATTTAAATAGTTTAACTGACAAAGTAAAATTAGGAGAGAAAAAATAATAAACAGGATTCAGTTGCATATATCAAAAACCATTCTTTGCTCTCATGACATAGAAGACTAAAAAGTGCATGTACAAAATCCTATTCCGCCTACTTCACGGGCTTCGACTTCCACAGGCCGTCGTTGAGGAAGTGGTACGTCTCGATGCCGATGCCCTTGTTCTTCGCCAGACTATAGAAATGGGGAGAGAAATGTGGTTTCATCCATTATTCAAATATGAGACATAGGACCGGGACCTTCTTTATAACTTATAATCAACTTGCCACCTATGAAATTTTGAATGTAAGCAATGATGCTTTTAGTTCTAGACATGTAAGTAATGCAATGCATATGTATATTTTTTTAAAATGTATTTATGCAGAGCTTATTTATGCTATATTTGCTAATAAATCTCGCCTTAACAACTTTGTTATAACCTTTATAATTTTTATAAACCTAATAGCTTATGGTCATCAATCCTAACTTTTAGAGTTTATTATCAAAAACACAAACTAAAATATAGTTACAGTTCCAAAATTACTGATTTTATTACTCACTGGTAGGCTAAACTATTCTAAGAAAATCATTGATAATAAATTCCTTTAAATTGTAGACAAGGAAAAATCTTGTTTATTACGTGCGACCAGACGCAATTACAGAAACCATAGGTGTCTGAACTTAAAGTGATCTGAGATTATGGAAATTTCATTCAATGTACTATTGCTAGATGAAGGGAAAGAATCACAGGAAAAGCTAAAAGGAAATTTTACTTCTTCGATTCTATCCCTATGCAAACTAGAATCTATGGGATAACTGATAGTTACATTTCTAAAGCAGTTTTTGAGATATACCTATAGGTTTAAATGGAACAAACTTTTAAAAGGCCTTAAAAACGAACAGAGATTTAGCGACATTCTTCCGCACATACATAAATTAAACTTTGTTTGAGCTGATCCAGTAAACAAAAAGACTTTTTATGGGGAGTAGTTGTGGTGAGAAAGGACAAAGTGGAAGCCGCAGAATAGCTGGTGATGGGTAAATAAGCACTCACATTTCTTCCGTGGATAGCGTGAGCAGTCCGATGGCCAGGGCGTGCTCCTTGCCCTCGGCCATGATGGCCACCACGGTGCTCTTGTCCGCCGGGGTCATGCAGGCGCCCGGAGAGGTCAGGCCGGGACACATGACGTTCGCCCCGCTCAGGACGAACCGGATGGCGCCCTTGTCCACCTGCTGCATGGTCACGAAGTAGGGGAACTTGTGCAGGAGCCGCAGGGTGGGCATCCAGGGACCATCGCGATGGCGGAAGAACACCTGTTCGCCGGCTCCATTCAGCAGCAGTTCGATGTGGTCATGGCTGGTCATGGTGGGGAATCAATCAATCAATCGGTGGGGATCAATGGGAATGCATAGCCTGTCAAGTGATTATGCCAACCTACCACTTGGCAATGCGGTACGAGTCCTTTTTGGGCAGGATCAGGTCGATGTGGGTCTCCAGCTTCGGATAGGCCTCCAACAACTTGGCACGTATGCCCTTCTGCACCGACGACTTCAGCTGCTGGATGCTCGAAATGCTGTCCTTCTCCTCGAATCTGCATGATTTGGTGGACCGGAAGAATGTGATTACTCTGATCCCGCCAAAAAACCCCAGCTATACGTACTTTTTGAACATTTTGCACGATTTCCTTGCGGTTTTTTAGTTTTTTTGGCAGCTGATGCGAATGTGGCAGTGTGACCAACCGTTCAACTCTGCCATCCGCCGGCGGTTAAAATACCAACTTCAACTATCGCATGCATTCGATATATACGGATCGCAGGGTGTTATATTTTTGAAATTGAAAAACAATTTGGGTATTGCCTAAACGACTGTCTGCTGAAATTGTCACATATGTAGCTGAAAAACGAACAATTGGATTTTTGTCCAAACTTCTTTATGTGCATATTTTTGGTGATTACCTTCATGGTGGGGCCAGTGTTGCCTATTTGATTTTAGTAGGAAAGGGCGACTACCCTAGCTTTTCAGCAATTTAACAAATTTTAGGTTTGACGTTATTAAAAATAATATAGTTTTATTAGTAAAATAATAATAAACATTAATAACAAATTCATCTTAAATAAATTTGTATGGTTTTCATTCCTACACTTACATTTGAATTCATCAATATATGTATAATAGCATTATTTTAAGAACCCAGTGTGCCGTGAAGTTCAAATACCTCAGGCGATAGTTAACGTCGTCGATCAACACTGGCCAGACGGCAGTAACAAAAACATTGTTGTACTATCCAAACAACCCAAACGTACGAATCGAGTTTATATTTTGTAATTTATTTATATTTTGTATTTTTAAATTTAACTGGTGTGATCGGTACCCCTTGAAGGTATATCTGTGTGATCTGCACATCTGAAGAAATGAGCGCATTGGAAGGACTGGGTGAGTAAATGCCCATAGCGTGCAGCTGGCAGCAGATGATCAATAGGAATTGTACGCATTTCGCAGACGTGGATCCCTTGGAGGTGGTCCATGAGTTCATTGCTGGCGTGGACAATGGCACCCTGCGCCGCGATCTGGCCGAGGACTGCCTTCTGAACTTCTGCAGCCGGAGTGTGCCGGGTGGCCCGGCAGCCACCGGATTCCTGAGGTCCCAGTTGACCCATCGCTACCGGCACGATCGTTTCGATGTGGCGGCGACCACACTTCCAGACTTTGAACTAACCCTGTTCGAGCGATTCGGCAGAACTTTCGATCGGATGCGTCGTCGCCTTTACGATCAGCGGGAGCGGGAAAGGGCCCCCACCACTACCACCACTACCACCACTACCACCACTACCACCACTACCACCTCTACCACATTGCACTTGCGTCCAGAGAGCGATGATGATGATGATGATGATAATGAATTGCCGGGTGAAAGGACGTTGCCGGTCACGCCCCCACGCCCATCGAGCCATGGACTGAGGACCCTAAAATTTCTGGAGGCCATTGGTCTGCTGAACAGCTGCAGCCCCGATTATAGCCGGGACGGCGGCGTGGATCTGGGCGAGTTCTGTACGGTCCACCTCGTTTTGGGCTACCGCCATGTACAGATGCCCGCTCGTCATGTGCGGGACATTGAGATCTGCCTGGTTGTCTACGAGTGCTATCCCGTAGACATTCTTTCTCCAACAGCCCGTCCTCCCCTGCGACAACGTGCCAATGGACGCTGTAATCCGACCACGGATGATGAGGCCGAGGGGGCACCACCACCACCGGCACCAACAAGGCGCCGCATGCGCGGTGTGCGCCGCACTTTGTTCGGAGAGGAGCGGAGGGAAGAGGATGTGGGAGGTCGCCAGCTAACGCAGGAGCAGCCAGCTTGGACGGCAGAGGATGCACCCCAGGAGGTGGAGGAGGAGGACATCGTCTTCACACTATCGGAAATCGCCTCTTCGCACAACCTTACACCAAGGAAACGCCACCAAACCACCAGTGGCAACGAAGTGACACCCAAAAAGACGCATGGACAGAAACGGCTCCGTTTCTAATGCTTCGAATCCAGATTCAAGCAACAACACACATATGTTAAATCCTAGTTTAGATTAGTCCTAGTTGCTTTTCCAAATCTCTGTAGCACAAATTATTTTTTAGGCTTTACCGGTTACCATATCAAGGATACCCCACAAATTTTCCGTAATTATTTAACGAAGACTGATTGCACGCGTTCTGGTCCCGCTTTCAGGGATCCCGCGACGCGCTAGGCTAATCCTTAATATGTATTGTATTACATAGTCCTTTATTTATGTATGCATTAAAGTTAAATGTTAATTTAAGGGGGTTTTTTTTTTGGACATAATGGGAGTTCTATATACGATGCAATTTTACTCTGCCATTTCTTTAATTTCAATACCCATTGGAATTTGAAGAACAAATATAAGACGAATCGAATTCTTAAAGATTTTTCACCTTTATGAATTCAATTAATTTGAATTAGAAATTTACGCCGCCACTTGGTAAATATTTTGTTAAGTGCATCAAAGAACTGTCAAATCAGTATTTTCTTTATTTACTTATGCTCAAAAAAGTGCAAAGTAAAATCAACTCATGCTCACAAACACATGAATCGTTTTCAGCT